ACGGCCTTTTTGGAAAGAAGTTTGGAGAACACTCAAGGAACTAAAAGTAGACCTACTGTTTGATCCTGCAATTCCTCTACTAGGTATATACCCAGATGATCAAAAATTATTTTACAACAAAGACATTTGCACCAGAATGTTTACTGCATCCCAATTCATTATAGCCAAGACATGGAACCAGCCCAAGTGCCCATCAACCCATGAATAGATTAATAAATTGTGGTATATGTATACCATGGAATACTATGCAGCCATAAAAAGATGGAGACTTCACATCTTTTATGTTTACCTGGATGGAGGTGGAACATATTCTTCTTAGTAAAGTATCCCAAGAATGGGGAAAAAAGTATCCAATGTACTCAATACTACTATGAAATCAACATATAACCACCTACACAATCATACGAATAGCAAAACATAACTATAGTCCATAAAGTAGAAGGGAAGAGGCGAGAGAGTGGTAGGAAGAGGAGATATGGGAGAAGGGAGGGCATCTGGGGGGACCTCACCTAATGTGCATGATGCAATGGTACATTTCAAAACTATTAAGAAATGAGTATAATTGTGATGAATGTGTTACTTGGTTCAATGTAAACATCTCACATTGTCTACTGAAGCAGTACCCTGAACCCCATAAACGCATCAATGTACAGTTATAATTTAATAAAAAATAATTAATTATTAAAAAAAAATTTGGATTCAGGACTTTGCAATTTAAGGACCTGGAAGGACATGTGTGGCCTTAAGGCCTCAGGTTCCCCACCCCTGCTTTAAGAGTTGGAGAGAGATGTGAATCTGATCTGAGTCATGTGGTTTCACTTCTTACTCCTCAGATTATAGATTAGCTTGCTTTCTACATTTCTTGTTTTGTACAATGACTAGAGAGAATTTGACGTCAGGGAGAAAAGCCTCCTGCCTTCTTAATTCATGACCTTTGTTATAAATTAACTTCTCTTTTGTTTTCCAGCATTGCTTAAACCAGATGACAGAAAACCCATAACTATTACACCCTCTGTAGTTAATAAAAATGTTAAATGTGCCATTCCCCCTGCCCCTCTCCCCAAAAGTATCTTCATATAGAGAATTATTCTTGAATCATGTGAATTTTGAACCATGAAGTCTTCAGGAAAGCATAAAAAGAAACTACCTGAAATTCTAATGAATATAAATTACTCAAAATAGCCACTAACAAGGCAGAAAAGCAATGACATATTTTAGGAGCTTACAAGTGGACATAATTGCAAATGCATTTAACTTACTATCAGTATGAGTTATACTTAGAAATAATAAAGACTTCTCATCCTCAAATCAATTATTTTTTGCCATTTGTAACTATTTTATAATGTGTCTTCTTTTATGCAGCCCCAACTATATATTCCAGCTGTTACATCTTCAAAGGAAAGTTTGTTTTATAATGCAGCTTTCTGCGTCTCAACTTCATATGCTTTGACCTACAATGTGCTTAACAAATTAATCTGAACCTTACAGCCATGCAACAGTCAAGACATGTACACTCTTCTTATTATAAACATTCCAGTAAATTAGCAACTTTTTCAGTTTTCATGGACCAGGTACATGATTTGTCAGCACACCTTAAACTACTCTGCAATTCATATTATTGTATACCAAATGAGCCAGTAGTTCATGTAAAGTTTTTCAGCATAATATAAATTAGGTCTTAATGTCATCCCCAAAAGGTCTTTCTAAAAGAGGTAATAAAGCATAAGCTTTTCTGCTCCTTTTTCCTCCCAAAGGGGAGAAACCATATAAAATGAAACTAATCACACAAGATAGTAATGTCAACTTCTTTAAACAGACATCAACAGATTAATAATGTAATAGTGCTGTACCTGTAGTAAAAAAAAAAAGATTTGATAAAAAATTTTAACTACTGAATGAAATTTAAATTTAAAAACTGTAAATGTTGTTAATGACTACTGAAAAACCTCATGGTTTTAAAAACAACAGAATTCTTAGCCGGGTGTTGTGGCAGGCACCTATAGTCCCAGCTACTTGGGAGGCTAAGGCAAGAGAATTGCTTAAGCCCAAGAGTTTCAGGTTGCTGTGAGCTGTGATGCCACAGCACCCTACCCAGGGTGACAGCTTGAGACTCAAAACAAACAAACAAACAAAAACCCAGAATTCTGATCATTCATGCACTTTCTTGAATATTCCTTTGAGGATACTACCATAAACAATCTGTGCCAGTAGCTCCATGGAAATATCACTTAAAATATCAACGTTAGTTATTTCCTCAAATACTGAAAATACAGAAATACTAATCCCACTATTTACTTTACATGTATATATGTACGTCAATTCACATTAGTCCCAACTTCGCTCATGCACAGTATAAATCAAAAATGAAAATGACACAATAGTTATTTCTTTAGACACAAATGAAGCAAAAAGAAAATGTAAGAGAAGAAAAAGGTTCTGAATTCCCCCCAATTTAGTATCATTTGACATAACAATACATCCATCTTAGATCATTGTTCTTTTTAGTATAGTAGCTAAACAAAGTTTGAACTAGTTGAAAATTAACTCAGAAAAACAGGAAATGACCAAATATATCTAAAAATAAATATTTAATTCTCCAGATACAGAAAAGTAAGCAAAAATGCTTGATATTCTTCATAAAATACCATTGTGAAAGCAATTTTTGTAGTGAAAAATAACATTTAAAAAAATATGAATTGGGTGGCACCTGTGGCTCAAAAGGGTAGGGCGCTGGCCCCATATGGTGGAGGTGGTGGGTTCAAACTCAGCCCCGTCCAAAAGCTGCAAAAAGAAAAATATATGAATCTATAGAGTATTTTTTAAAGTCTAGATATGGCAATAAAAGACAAAGAACAAGAATGGTGGAATGGGATTTTAGGCAAATGGCAAAACTGCCTTTCCAGATAGAATTCAAATTGAAAGTGAGTGACAGCAGGACACAGGAAAGTTGTAAGGGTACAAAAAGGATTCTGATGAGACAACAGAATAGAGCCTAGGACTTAAACAGAAATATTTATAAGCAGGAGGACTCCATATAAATTGATTATTTCATATAGTTTATTTATTTTAAATGAGCAACCCCCCCCCCATTCAATATTAGTATCAAGTACTTTTACACTTCAGGATTATCCCCAGAGTCCTGCTTCTGCTATCTGTCCTCCTTGACTGTGCCTTAGAACATGCCTTCTAACATAAATCCCCCTTTTTTTTTAGAGACAGAGTCTCACTCTGTCACCCTGGGTAGAGGGACATGGTATCACAGCAACCCCTAGCGCTTGGGCTTAGGCAATTCTCTTGCCTCAGCCTCCTGAGTAGCTTGGACTACAGGTGCCCTCCACAACGCCTGGCTATTTTTCTATTGCAGTGTGGCGGGGGCCGGGTTCGAACCCATCACCCTCGGTATATGGGGCCAGCGCCCTACTCACTGAGCCACAGGCGCCACCCTTGCAATCTTCTTGTTTCTGTACTTTATGAACTATCCATGCTCCCTGGCCCAATTCACTACATCTACATCTAAAGCCTTTTAATATCCAACACAAACTTAGATGCTTTCTCTTCTGTGAAAAACCTTGTACACAGTCTTCCAGTGAAATTATAGCACTAATACATTAAAACTGTACATTATATTCCTCTTTTCCCTACTGTGTTATAAAGACGAAGACACAAGGTCTGACTTATCTCTAATTCTCTCTCACCTCTACCAAGCATCTAGATATATCTGATCAGAGTAGTCTAGATATATCTGGCACAGAGTAGTCATTCAATAAATGATTTGCTAAATAAACATCACATTTAACAACAAAATACATGATTTATACTTTTAATATCAATATTTCCTTTCAGAGAACAACTATTAGGTCACACATATGAATGTAGCCATAGCAAAACAAATTGCTATTATGAGTGAAAACAACACAGATGTTTCTTCTCAAATTCTACAATTTGTCTAAAACTGTGTATTGCCAAATAAAGGTTTAGCCTTTCTGTCATAATAAGGCAAGAAGGTTTATAGGATAAAGTGTATTCTGCCTGGTAGGCTTGTGATATGTTCAAGAGGTGTTCAATTCATTCTGAATAAGTGAATCTAGGAAAACCAGAGGCAGAAGATAAATTTCAAAAATTCATTTTTGTAAAGAGTTTCAAATTTCTCCCCCCAATTTTTTTTTTTAAAAATGGAGAATAAAACTGAGTGTGTTTCAACTATCCTTCTATTTTCTCTGCTGACTGGCTAGAGAACATACAAATGAGTAAAAAAGAAAAGGCAATGAGAAAGAAATCCAATGACTGGCTCGGTGCCTGTGGCTCAACTGGCTAAGGCGCCAGCCACATACACCTAAGGTGGCAGGTTCGAATCCAGCCCGAACCCACCAAACAACAATGACGGCTGCAACCAAAAAATAGCCAGGCGTTGTGGTGGGCACCTGTGGTCCCAGCTACTTGGGAGGCTGAGGTAGGAGTTGAGCCCAGGAGTTGGAGGTTTCTGTGAGCTGTGATGCCATGGCACTCTACCCAGGGGGACAGCTTGAGGCCCTGTCTCAAAAAAAAAAAAAAAAAAGAAAAAGAAAAGAAATCCAATGACTTAAGACATCCCACATGCTGTATATCAACCTGTGAGCAATTAGAGAACTAGAACTAAAAGTAGGCAACATATAAAATATCTTTAGAACATTTTTATTCCAAAAAACCATTTGGTCCTTAACAGAATGACTTAGTTTATCCAGAAATCTCACTAATTATATTCAAAATGACTTATTTCTATACACAGGTTTTAATTGTACTTGTAAAATCACATTACCTGGTGTGCAGAATAAAAAGACTAAGAAACAAATATAACTACTATCATAAATTAACACAGTTTTGGGCAGTGCCTGTGGCTCAAAGGAGTAGGGCACCAGCCCCACATACCAGGGGTGGGGGGATGAAGCGCAGCCCTAGCCAAAAAAACAAAAAACAAAAAACAAAAAAACCCTGGAAAAAAGAAAAGAATAAATTAACACATTTTTTTACATAATGAAAATAAAATCAGCTAAAATTGTTGATTAAAAAAGCATGCCACTATAATTAATTTTTGGACTAACAAATTATTAACAGAAGTGTAAATTCCCAAGAAAGCAAATTAAATCAAAATAACTGAATACAGACTACCAAACAACAAAACCCTAAATAGCTTTTTTGCATTAGCTAGACTAATTTTGTCTTTCCAGTCAATTTTATGAGGCAGAAAATGCATCTGTGAGGTCCATATGCTTTGTTCTCAACAGTAAGGAAAGCAATTTCTACTACGGCAGATATTAAAACAGCTTCAGTAATTTTGAGCAAATTAAAAATAACTGGGAATTAGTACTGTATTGCTCCAAAATGATTTTATTTGAGCCAAACTCTTCAATGCAGTACAAAACTAAAGTGACCTACTTCAATCTATTGGGAGTTTCCTAATTATTAAACCATAAAAAAATGAAGGAGGATTCTAATAGCTGTATTTTCACATATTCCAACATTATCTGCTTAGAAATGAACAGAGACAAGAGTAATATGTTAACATCGTCTCCTTCAATAGCATCAGTAATCAAATGTTTCCTTTCCCTTATCCATTGAGGAAAAACCAAACAAATGAAATCCTAATTTCCTAGAATTTTGCCCATGTGAAAGGATGCTCTTCAGCAATGTAAACCTTAGTTTTAAAATCTAAAAAATAGCAGCATAATCAAATAATATACTGCCTCCATAACGATCTGTATAGAGAATCAATCCCTATTTGCATCCTTCATCCCAAAGAAAAAAATTTGCTATGGTTTAAAAGTACACTAGAAATGTATTTTATCAATACGTATTACAGTACCTACACATTTTATGGGAGCTATCATTATAATAGATGTTTCATAATTAAGAGATAACATTTAGAAATGAAGAAATCCTTTAGAAGAAATTTATTTGGAGAGTTGTGTGATTTGCCACCACCTCTTTTTACAGCTGGTCATGAATGAAATTCTAGATTCTACTACGCTGAACCGACGAAGCAATTGATTGAAAACATTTATAATGGAAAGGAAGAGGTGGGGGCGGAGAAGAGAAAAGGGCCAAGTCAATTCCAAACACAGTGAGAAAACAAAAACAGCACCATGAAATAGATGTTAAATGCAACTGGCAGGAGGCCCCGCCGACCGGCGTCACGCACAAACACAGGTATTCATACACACGCACGCACGACCCATGCCCTACAAAACAGCAGGATCCGCAAAATCTATGCAGGAAGGGGAATAAATAATTTTCAATTTACTCTCCCTCCAGGTTACACGTTCGCCTAGAGGGAAAACCCTGATGTCTCTTAAACAGCCTTGGGAAGTATAGACAACAGACACTCAGTTCCTTTCCAGAATTGCTACATCGAACTAGCAAATCTCCCGGCACGCGAGAAAGGATCCAGGCGCGTGGGAAGCGAAAGAGGGTCCCGGCGCACCTGTTAGGGCAGGAGCGCAGGAAGGACGGGCTGCGGGTTTAGGAAGTAGGGCTGAGGCTGCCCCTCGGGATAAGGGCGGCCGGGCAGGTCCAAGAAGAAGAGCTGCGTTCACGATTTGGGGCCAGGGAAGATGTTCGGGAAAACCTTCTAACAAACCCCCCATCTCAAAGAGAGGACACAAAGGGCAGGTGGGGAGGATGGGGGGGTCCCGGGGGTCTCCACGGCGGAGAAAACACAGGTGAGAACGGGACAGGGGCAGGAGAGGCGCGGAGAGCCCAGGCAGGGCGAACCCACAGAAGGACCAGGAGCTGAAGTATGGTAGCGCACAGTTGAGGAGAGGGCGGAACCTTACCTGATACTCCGGGTACTCAAACATGTAGCTCATACTGCACTTGTTCTCTTCAAAGCCGAAAAAGACATCCCACAGTCCGAGGGTCGCCATAAAGACCATGGAGACATAAAACGCCAAGTTCCAAAGACTGACTGAGTGGAGAAACATGGTGCCGCCACCACCGCCGCCGCCTCTGCCGCGGGGCACTGAGCCCAGACTGAGCGAGCCCGAGAGCGCCCGGCCACCCGCGCCGGAGCGGAGCCCGAGCAGCGCGCGCCTGCGTGGACACCCGGCCAGCCCGCGCGCCCGCCGCGCAGTGCGCCTGCGCGCAGCCGATCCCGGGGTCTCCTGCCTGGCGTCTCCCAGAGCCGAGGAAAGAGGCGGCGTTTGCAGCCAGAGCGCGAATCTGAGGGGGAAAAAGAAAAGGAGAAAGCTGGATGGGCTGGGCTGGACAGTGAGGGGCGGGGGAGAAGGAGGAGAAGGTGAAAAGAGAGAAAAGTGGGATGGAAGGGCGAGGAACGGCAGGAGGAAGGGAAAACAGGGGAGCCGGGAAGAGGAATCGCGAGGGGGATGGGCGGAGCGCGGGAGCCGGGAGTGGAGCTGGGAGAAAGGGCTCGTCAGGCGGGATGTTTATCTCGGGAAGCGGATAGAGATGAGAGGAGAGGACGGCCGCGAGCGGACCTGGCGAGGGGAGGCGGGACTTCAAAGCCCAGCGGTCATCAGCTGTCAGATTGCAAACACCTCTCCCGGCAGCAGTTTAAAAGCCCGTCCAGTTCAATTTAGAACCGCCTCGGGCCTCCGCGTTTCTGTGGTCCCAGCAGTAATGGAGCGCGTTCGCAGCTCTGGGGGCCGGTTAGTCTGAGGAGCGGACGCCGGGCTTTCCCCTCTTAGACCGCCAACTTGGGCCGCGTGTAGGGAACAGCGGCTTAAAAGCGTCCACTCCTTAAAACGCACGCGGGCCGAAGAGATTCTGCTCTTGGTATAAAGTGAAAATCTGGATCAGGAAAGGTCCTTAAAAAACGAAACTAAAATGTCCATTAGCACTGATGTCCCCAACAGGTATCAGTTTGACACAGACGTGCCTTGCTCCCTAGAACCTCCAGCTCTTGGGGAATTGGTTGTGTTAGGCCACAGGGCAGTAAGGAGGCCCTAAAACAATGAAAACATTCTACCCGCATATCAGACTCTTGCACCTGGAGGCAACACCCTACCCTCTCCCTACTCCCTCATACCCGCGCTAAAAATAACCGTCGCAAAAAAAGTCCCCAGAGCAAAACTGCCCAG